AACGCGCTGCCCGTAAATTCGCTGCCCCCCTTCGTCCCCCAACGGCGCCGAAGGATCGCTGCGCGGCAGATTTTTCGACGCGGAAGACTTTTATCCTTGGTTTTTTTTTTTGCAAATAGAAAATCCCTCGAACCACGTTCCCTTCGATTCCCCGAAGGGACGAGGGATTTTCGCAAAAATTGTCACTGGCATGCGGGCGTGAGAAATGTGGCTTTCCTCATGAAAATTTAGCCGCGCAATTTTATTGTTTTTTTATTTTTTGTTTTTATGATATATCTTGCAACTTGAAATTCAGAAATTCTGTATCGTCCTAAAGATGAGGATAATATGTGGCGATCCACTTTAATTTACCGTTCAGCTTTTAAGAAATTTATCGTTATTTATTTTAGTACGCGCGCTTGTCATTTTTCATCGTGAAACTTGCTATCTTCGAGATTTACGGCTACTTCGAAACTCACGCCTTTTACCTACGTCACCTACGACATTTACGATGTATTAATGAATGCTCCGTTCCACCGTTGCACATTTGTTTCGTGTCCCGTCTAATTAATACGCGACATCGCCGCGGCGTTTCTGTCTTTCGCGGTCGGCGGATCGGGCTTTGAGGTGGCTTTCGTTGCACGGTACAAAGCGAGCATTACTTATATGCCCGGAACCATCTGGCATGGAGGAGCGACGAAAGAGAGCCCGGAGAGAATATTTATCAGCAACCCGGAAAGAGCGGTTCGCGCGCGCGAGGGTGGGAAGGGGGAAAGGGGGGAATATCTCGCCGCCGCGGCCGGAGAAATGTCTCTATAAATCACCGAGCCGCTTTTCAGAGCCGATCGCGTTTTATAAACGAGGCCGGATTAGTCGTATTAACACGCCACGGAGAGATACGCGGGAATGCCGATGAATTAAATAAGACGATACGGCTTTTGCTCTCCACCCCCGCGCGCGCGCGCGCGCTCACGCTGATTGATGCCCTCCGACGAAGCAGATCTATTATTACTACCTGACCTGCTCAAGAACGAGGATTAAACCCCTCGGCTCTCCTACCGGCAAACTGCACTGTCATCCCGACCCGGGAACGGGAACGCGGGACTCGTCTCGCAGACCCCCAAGCGAGTAATTCTTGTCTGTGCACTTTGTTGCCTCGTAAATGCAAGTTACGTTATCCCCCTTTTGCAATCGATTTTCATCATTTATCGGTCGGTCTAAGAAAAGGTTCTTGTAAAGCAGTAACATCCACATTTTATTTATTTTTATTTTATTATTCTTTGAAGACGTCTCCACGTATACTAACGGCAAACACGAGGATGATTCATTTTGTTCCTATTATATATAATTCCGTTATCTATATTCAGTCTCATAATTCGTCGACTGGTTAACTAGTTTGCGAAGTTTATTACTATTTTCGTCGAGATCTTTATGGGATCTCTTTATTCCGTAATACACAATGCTCTTATAGTCGTTTCTAACACATTCGCAGGATATCCATTCCGATACGCCCTAGAACGCCCTCCCTCACGGCCTGACGTTTTTCCGTCGCGAGAACGCGGCAGATAAGCTTCGGTAAATCACGTTTGCACCGGCACGCGGCTCAATGCGCCCCCGTCCGGGGCGAATGCATCTTCGCGGGACAAAGGGATTACGTGCTTTCCTTATCGCGATCTCGAGCGGGCGAGCGGGCACGTTCTCTATCGCTCTCTCTCTCGCGCGCGCGCGCGCGCGAGCGCGCAAACACACCGCTTTGTGCGTCGCGTCCGCGGAAGTGTCCGTGCCTGAATTTATACCGCGGCCGACCCTCCCCGTAGGATTTCTCCATGGCATCGTATCTCGTGCGAACACAAAAGGGAGTCGTCGACCCGGAGATGGGGCAACACCCCGGACAATTAGGTTCAAGTATAACGTTCGCCGCTCGCGCGTGCAGTGCACTCGACGAAAAACGCGGGGTCCGAGTGACGCGCGCGCGAGTCCTCGCTTCTATTCATAAGCCAATCTGAAATGCAACGGATCATACATATTACATGGCGCACACACGCTGGATGCAACGGCGATCAGGCGTATAAAAATGTACCGGCCGTTCGGCAGATACAGCGATGATTTTACATAATCCAGCGTATCTCTCATTTTTTTTCGTTAATTAAGCTGCGAAACAATTTAATTATCGCGTCGACCGTTTCTATCGTTTCTACCGTTTTTTTTTCCTGCAATCTGACGAGTGTCGCGAGGACTCGAGCCGACGCGGAAATCGAATTTCCGCTTCTATTTAATGATCGGTCGTACGATATTTCGTGTTCGCGCCAAGAATTAAGCCGTTTCTCTCTGACCTTGTACAATCACGTGCAAAATGCGTATACATGATACATTTTATAGAATTTATTTGAGAAGACTCAAGTTTATACAGAGAATAGAATAATTAATAAAAATGGTCAAAAAAATTGGACTAATTTGTTTTTTCTTTACGAATTATACGAACTAAATAGTTGGGAACACAAAATGTCAAAAAATTTGATACATTCGAATTTTAAATAAATACATTAATTCAATGGCGATTTAAGAATAAATAAATTAATTTGTGATTATAATTGAGTAAGTCATCGATTTAAATATCGAAAGATCAGACTGTTACGCTTGTTATCGCATAATTTAGGTATATCTAAATTTATATAATCGCTATGTGGCGTGATCGCGCGCGGCTCGTAGCAGGAGATTGCACTCACTTGTCGCGAGACCGACAATCTCTCGTTCGAGCCTTATTCAGAACGGGCTCGATTCTCGTGTGATAAGTATGACTAATCGCGAGCAACGGGATAACACGTTGGCGCGTCTCGCGCATTCAGACTGCATTTTAAGCGGCGCGACGAACCGTACTTTTTTCCCGAATAAACAGCGTGACTCACTCAGAATGCGATTCCACTAGTTGCGTGTTATTCGTCTAGTCGCGCGGGAGATGGGCCGCGCGCGCGGAGGCGAGCTCGTCGGGGAAGCTACTTTGGCAGCGAGCCACGTCGTGTCATCGCTCGTGCCGCGCAAATTCGAGATCTCCTCGGCTGGCGTCCCGACAGGTAAACACGCGCCCGCTGCTAAACGCTCTCAATTATCGACCATCTTGAAATAAAATGTGTCGCGGCACCCGTCCGCACCCCCGGCGCGCGATGCTTAACACCTTCTTTGACCGCGTCGCCCGCGGGAACTCGGCGATTACAGCTCGTCGTTAGAAAAGACGCGCAATTACGTCGTAACTGACGCGGTATACGTGTGTTCTATTCACGTTTCTCTCCGCATAAAATTTTTTTATTTAGTTTGTAGTATATTTAAAAATCAGCAAAGGAAAAATTAAATTTACAAGATTAAGCATTGTATTCCGTCAAATAAATTTGTTTTTATAAATTATTGATTTGCAGTTAACATTGAAGTTTTATTAATGTACAGCAAAGTGCTAATCTTCAAGTACGTCCTCGTTATTTGCATTATTCTCACGATTAAGGATTAAGGATTAAATTAGAGAGCGCTAATTGCATTGTAAATCAGTGCCAGCCGAACATGTTGCAACTCTGTTTTCTCTCTCTAATCTGTCCTACACTCCGCTTCGTGTTACAATGTCTAGTTAGACTAATTCCGAAGTGATTCGTCTCCCGTGTTTGACAAATTCGTAAATCGCTACGTGATCATTTTATATAAATCTTCAGTTGAATATTAATTTTACATTGAAAGTCAATAGAATTAGAATTATTATTTGAGAATAAATCGATACGAGAGATTTTACGCATATATCGTCCTCTAATAGATTTAATATTACAATATTTAATATTACAATAAGATTTTACAAAATAATATATTCAAATTCAATACATTTGAATTTTATATTTCAAATAATTTAATAGTTAATTCTCAGTCGCAATTAAATAATTTTAATATGAAATTATTAATAAGTAAGCAGTTACAGAAATGTACTGATCGTAGGTTTTAAATTACGGTTGTGCTGCTGCACGAGGCGCCTGGCACGAAGCGAAATAAAATGTGCCGTATGAAAAATAGTCGCGGTAAAAGACCGACTTTTTTTCACCGTGAAAATTTGGTGCTGTCAATGCGTCTGTTAGGGTATAACGTTCATGAACGGGGCTCAAGTGCAGTTTGCCATTTGTCTCATGCGCTCCCTGACCTCTCTCGGCTCTCAACCTACCCATGCCACGCAAACTTTCCGTCTGGATCCGTCGCGAGTATCGTGTGAGAACGGTCGAACTTATACCGAATGCCTCGCATACGTTGCTGCCGTCGATGGGGATACCCTGGAGAACGCACCATGTAAACTTCGTTCGATTTGCCGCGCATGATATACGATGTGCATCGATCATGTGCTCGAAATAGGTTAACGGAAATACGAGGTGCTTCAGAACTATCGCCGCTTCTCTTAACGACAGGTTTCAGGAACGGACTTGCGAAGAATGGCGTGATTGCTTTCGGTGCTGAGATATCGGTGACTTTCGAAGCGAACTGGAACGTTCTACAATAAAACAAGAGATATGTTAAATAGTTTTTATCAGTATCCGTGTGATAATTGACAAATTGACGTGAAAGAAAACGAGAGAGCTTATTGTTAGTTCAGGAACTTTGAGGTTGCGTGAGGCTTCTGTAAAACCATCGTAAATTAATTAATCATGATTAAATTTATCGTAAATGTAATTGCGTTGAAAAATATTTCTGTCCGTTTTTCTTTATTTTAGAAAGTGGTAGAAGTTTTATATAAAAAAATACGTGTATTGACGAAACATTTTATTTATATGTTTTTTTTTAGATTGATAGTTGTATATTATTTGTTCCTCTTAATTGTTTAATTTGGAACTCGAGATGCGTTCAATTAGAGATTAATATCCACATTTCTCGGCTTTGAAGCTCCCTTCGGAGAACTCGCCGAGAAGTGATGCACCATCGCCTAAATCAACAAAGTGTGAAAATGTTCTCCTAAAATATCCTCGCATACATCTGTTAAAGTGCATTCCTCTTTTCTGTTGCAGGAAGTGTTGCACACGATCAGCGCGCCCAGCGGGCAGGTTCAGCGCATCGTAATCTTTAAGAAAAACGGCGTGCAGGCTATGGTTGAATATCCTTTTCAATAACACATTTCACTATGTTAGTGCCTTTATTGCACCCTGTGGTGCCTCTCGCCGCGCCGCAATTTCGTCAATTTGCGTTAACGATTCTCGGAAGAACACTGCATAACTCTCAACTGCGTAAATTAACGCTTTAAATACAGTTGTAGTCGCGCAGTAAATTACCGAGAAATGTACCGCTAACGTTCTGTTCGCCGAGCGTAATGCTATATTTTACGACCGCAGATGTTGCATGCTGTATATATAAAGAACTAACAAAGAGCCGTTATTACTCCCTGATGTTCGGTCCGCTACAATTTTTTTAATTTTCAAAATCGATTAAATTTCGTCGTCGTCTTATATTTTCCTGGAAATTTCATTAAAAGTAAAATTCAAATTTATCGAAGGGTATTGCCATTGAAATTTTGACAAGCCGAGTGATAGGACTTTTATACTTTGTACAAAGGGATCGATTTGAAAAATACGCAAGGAGCGCGTCGTCACAGTTCGTACAATGCCGCCGGGGGAATAACGATTTATTTTACACGACTAAACCGTCGCGTTTTCGCATGAATTTGATTTACGCGGTAAACTTCGGGAGCAAAACATGCTCGTTGAACACGCGAGTCAAGGGTCACCATCGGCGCGAACTCGAAGCCCGCGGGATCAACTCTCCTCGTCTTGACACGCTTTCTCGAGCCGTGCGGAAACTTTGTCAAGACATGCACCGCCGTTACCGGCGTAATGAAGATTTATAACGGGGATTCGAGCTCGGTGACGGGGAACGCTTGATTTTTTCGCCGCCAACTCTTTTCCGCGTGAATTTTTCGCATGCAAGTACGTCTCGCAGCGCGCCCCGAGCTTCACCGCGGAAGCGACGCACCCGTATTTTCGGCGACTCTCCGCCCGGTGGAGTGTATTCCGGACTATTACGATCCAAATAATAGTCAAGCCGCGTCCCGCGTGACTATAAATTCGTTAGAGCTTCACGTCATGTTGGATTTATACTGCGCGACGGCCACTTTGCGGGAAAACAACATTGTAATGCCGCAGTGAATTCCGTGAGATTTCCACCTTGTCGGAACGTTACATTTTATTGCATTTGCCGTAAAACTTGCTGAACGGTACAATTCAATTTGTATGGTAATTATACTTGAAGTTAGTTTGTTGCATCTTTTCGATCTTTTCTTTTATTTATAACTGTATTAAAGCGATACGAACGTTTAAAGTGATTCCAAATTTAATTGTTAATTAGTCGCACAAGTGAAAACATGGTAATTATAACAAACACGTAACTTTACATGTTATTATTAATGATTGAAGTTTGGAATGTTCCTGGAGCGATTTTAAAAAAATGATTTGTCCCATTTATAGCTTCGCATAGAATAACTCATAAGTGCCACAATACAAAATATTTCGATCAAGTATGTACACGCGTCGGAAGGCACCCTTCAATAAGTCACCCTCCCAATCACTTAAAAAATTCTACATCAAAATTGATTTGTTCCATTCGTATTTAGAATTTTTTAAATGACCGAGAGGGTGGTATCGAGCCATAAAAGTGCCTTCCGACGCGTGCATTCGATCGGAACATTTTTTATTTTGTGTCTGGCACTTAGGAGTTACTTTGTGCAAAAGTAGGAATGGGCTAAATCATTTTTGGCATAGCTGGAATTTTTTAAGTGACCGGGGGGTGGTTTATCGAGCATAACGGTGCCTTCCGACACGTGTATTTTATCGAAATATTTTGTATTGTGTTTGTGGCACTTATGAGTTACTCTATGCGAAGCTAGAAATGGAACAAATCACTACTAATAATTAAAAAAAAAATCGCTCCAGGAACGTTCCAAACTTCAACCAGCTTTTAGATTTTTATAAATATCAAATTTCTACACGAATTAATTTTGAAATTTACACACACACACACACACACACACACACACACATTTTATATATATATATATACATTACAAATGCTATATATCCTTAACCGACCATTTTGACCATCACGTTTGACACGGTGGAATCGGCAACCAGAGCAAAGGAAACGCTACATGGGGCAGACATATACTCCGGCTGCTGCACACTAAAAATTGACTTCGCAAAGGTGAGTACGTCAGCAATTACCTTCCGTAATTATCCTCCTCTTTTGAAAGAAAATTTATGCGAATTTAGATATGTAAATGCTGCGCAACGGTAAGGCGGATCGCATTTGCCGACCTTAAAAAACGATGAAAAAAAGAGGAACCGTTTAAAAAAAAAAAAATTCTGTCGTCCAGAGTATTTTACATAATGCCACTCGCGCTAACGGGGAAGAGTTCGGAAAACCTATTTGCGCCATCTATTTTACGCGACTTGTTATCAATTCTAATTAGCAACACCACGAGCGCTCTCGTAATGGAAAATTTTATTTAATATTCGCAATTTATCAGCGACATTTAATTTAAGTATACCGATATAATTGATAAAGCTGATTTAATTGCACTCACAGTCCATCTGTAATGAAAAATTATTTATAACTGCAGGAGGATATAAATTATGTTAATTTATGAAGATTTTAGAGCTATCGCATTTTCTTTCGACCATAAATTATTACTGACGAACGTAAAATTTAATCTTTTCCTCCCGTAAATTTAAAATAAAATCCGACTATAGAATTGATGAAATAAATATAGAAATCTGACGCGAAAGAGATTTAATTTGAGATTTAATTATCAAGATGTTTCGATATTAAATAGCTATGACTGTTAATAATGGCTTTCGATCGAATTTTCGTTTAGTAATAACACATTCCGAATTTGTCAAAGGGGATATTAACAGGGAAATATCGACTATTCTGTACAAAACATTTCATCAGAAAATTCAGTTTGAATGAAATCTTATTCAATTTACACACAGTTTACAACTTAATGCAGAATGATTTGCAAAATTCACCCACGGTATTGCATTCATACTTAAACAGATTTTTTTATGTAATAAGCGAAACGTATTATCTTTTCGTGCATGGACGTTATAATGCTGTTGTAAGACGACTTCTGTTTCCATAATTACGCCAGCTCTCTCTCTCGTCGAGTCATTGAATCTGAGTCGACAGAAACTTAAATCGTCGCGATTTAAGTAACTTATCGTAATCAATGCACCCGACGCGCTGTCGTAAATCATGTAATTTAACGCTTGTAACGAACGAGCGCGGCATAAGATGGATTAACCGGTTTTTATCTGATTCTACCTACCTACCGCGCGCATTAGCGTGACACGGCAAACAGCTGCACTCTTTCACGCCCCTGTCGCGACTTTCACGCGAGAAGAATTAAGCTTCGTTCATACACACAATACTGCCACTGAACGAACAAACGTTCGTTGCTAAAGTGCCGCGGTGAGTATTGTTCCCCCGAGTAACGTTTTCAAGAAGTATCTATCAAAAATTATACCGCCGACTTCGATTAACGACCTTTGCCTTCTCGTAATCGACTTTTCTATCACGAAAAGATCGTATGCTTTTCAAAACAGCTTCTCTCTTATACTTACGCGCCCCCCCCCCCCCGTTCGGCACCGTCAGACATTATTAGCGTCAGCCCCAAAAAGTCGTAATTCGTTTTTCGCTTTTGTGATCTCGATGTCAGCTCGTGACAGAGATGTTGAAAGGAATATCCGGCACATTAGGCTCGTGACGGTGGTTGCTATGGGGGAGAAAAAGTGACTCGTGGCACATAAAAGCACACTCTCTCTCTTGGGCGCGAACACACACCACATTATGCCTGCGGAAAAACACGCGAGAAATGAGCAGTCGAATATTAACGAAGCGCAGTATTATAACAAAATTGCTCGTTAATTAACGAAGACGTGACGCACGTGCGCTCAGATCGTATCGGATATAATTATCCTTCTACAAGTCTCAATCATGTCAAGATTGAGACTTGTAGAAGGAATTATCTATCCCTTATCATATGAAGTATTGACTCGTGTCGATAAAATATTTTGCTCCGAAAGGAAAGAATTCGTTATAGAAAACTCGTGATAGACTCGTGTTTGCAAAACGTTGTACATTGCTCGCCGCGGCAAGAAAAATTCGAAGATTCGATCAGATTTAGAGCCCATCTTTCTCCTTCGGCAAAAATGTGTCTTCGTGCCACACTTCTTCACGATTTTTTTACGCTCAAACTTCACGACATTTTTATCGCTAACTCCATTTCAAGAGTAACGATCTAGTTTCTTCTTGCATAACGAAATCCAATCATAGAACAGCGAAAATAATGATTACGACAATGGTCGACGATAACATTATTTTCTCGCTCGCTTTGCTCGAGCAGGCAACTCGGAATTACTTCGATTCGCTGTTATCCTTCCCGATCGCTTCCTTGCCACCGACCGTATGCGGGTCATATTGGAAAATGTTAGATATTTATTGGCGAAGTCGACTGTATTTTTCGTTCGAATATCGCGCACCAGCTGCTTCTCCCGCAGCCGTTGGAGTACGTACTTGAAATCGCGCTTGAAGTACAGTTAATCGACTGATTTCTTTACAACGAAAACGTTGTTTGTTTTTGGAAAGGTTAAAGGTAATCGCTTAACAACACGGTACAAAAAGTTTAATAAAATAACTGGGTACAGTTTCTAAAGCTTTTGCTGAAAAGTATGTCACGGTAAATAAGTACGGCAGGAGACGTTATATGACCGAAACAGCACTCGCTAAATTTATACGCAATATAACGAACTCAATATATTGCTTTTAGTCCTCAGACTTTTTAGTCTGATGACTAAAATGAAAGGAAAGAAAACTTTGAAGAGAGCGATCCAGGATTTAATAAAGTCGGATTAATTCGGAGACAATCTGTGAGTAATACAAAGTCTCGGACGAGGAGCGTCGTCGTGGAAATGTCGGCAAAAATTTGGGATAGAAATATGCGCATACCGGAGAAGCTCTAGAGACGCGTCGGTAGCGCGCTAGCGAAAATAGAGCCGAAGGCAGAGCCCAAAGCTCGAAATTGGATTTCGAGGCGGAGCCTGTCACAGGAGCTTACCCACCCCTTATCTCCCTATTGCCAATAGAAAGGCCTGCCAAATAGCGGCCGTGCTTGTTGGAAAGCGCGCGTCGGCTGTGCCGCCACGCATGAGCCGCATGAATCATGCCGATGGATCTACGGGGTACGCGTGTGCATCTGCGCGCGAGGATGAAGTATCGCAGACGTATCGGATACATCGGAGGAATATTTGAGCAAGCTCCTTCTCCTCCCCTCCCTCGCCTCCACCCGGAGTATCGCGTACTGCAAATCCCTTCGGATGCATCCTCCTTCGGAGCGCCCCTTCTCGAACTGCGTCCGCGTTTTCTCTCTATTGCGAGTTTGGAGTTTTTTTTCTCTCTATTGCGAGTCGGGAGTTTTTTTTCTTTTTCATAAGAACAAACGTGGACGGAATGACAATGTCGTATCGATTAGACACGGTCTTGCGGAGATTGCTTGGCGCAGAAGCGGAGACTCGTCTACGGAGAGACCCTTCCCCGTTTTACAACGGTGTTCTCTTGTCTGCGAGTTTTAAAACCTATAAAGAGTAGCGCGTGTTCCATCGTACTCTTCCGCAAATTTTTTTTTTTTTTTGCTTTTAGAGTAACTTGATAGCGCGACTTTGTCGCTCCTGCGATCACACATTACAAAAGAACGTTGCGCACCGATCCGTACACTACACGCTTCTTTTTCTTGTTTCCTCTTTTTCCCGTAACTTTTCAAACGCGCCTTTCATTGCGAAACGTGCGGTGTTTTTAACGTTTTTTCCCCCCCTCAGGAATTCGTTGTCCCTTTGCTTCGGGGACGTTATTACTGATCTCGAAACATTCGCCAGAATTAGCACGTTCCATCCATTGTTCCGCCACCTAAGCTCTCTTTTTCCTTCCTGAAATTTCTCCGCCTCGAGTGTATTCGTTCGATATTGCTGGCGCTCGCGCGACGTGCACCCATATCTTTACCCCGTAACGCCTATACCCCGTTATCTTCGTTCCTTGAGAGTGCAATATTCAAAGTTTCATTATTAAACTTTCATTCGCCACGGATCGGCGAGGAAACGAGATTGTTTATTGAAGTTGAAAAAGCCGATAAAGTTATTCGTTATCTCGACGGTGTGCATGAGCCGGGCGGCGACGTTATAACAACTGTAACGATTCAATTGGCGTTTTGTTTTTCTTCCTTCAGTCGGAGCGTGAAGTCAGATTAATTTAAGTGTCACGCCACTGTACGTTATCGCGCGAGGGCCCCGCGTCGTCGGAACTTCACTTCCGGAACTTTAAATCGGAATTAAATTCCCCTCCGTCGCCGCTATCATAATTCTCGAGCGGCAGGGTGACGATAAGACGGACGCGCGCGCGACGTGCCCGGCGAATCGCCGCGCCGGCCGCGGCGAGAGATCTTCATTCCGGCGAATATCGTAAAGGACAGATTGACAAAGTTGCTCTACGTGCTGGCTTACCGCCCTCGAAAACGCGCGAATTTATCGGACGGAGAGTATCGCCAGGAATTGAAAGTATTTACTCGCCATTGGAGCGACATTAACGACCCGAGCGCGAACGCCACGCACGCGTCCGACGTGTTTTACGAGGCCCTCTTAAAATCTAAAAAGGAGAAGTAGTAGAGACGACGCGAGTGTAAAAGACAACGAGAAGTGCCAAGCTCATGTTGGATGTCTCTCGGGACGATTGCCAGCCCTTTAATTCTAAAGGATTTCTCGATCGAGTTCGAGTCAACTTTAACGATTTATTTAAAGCGTTTCTTCAAGTGCCATCCTTTTTTGTTCCTGTAGCTTTTCACCTTCCGACGTTGTCTTATCTAGATATTAAATTAAAATTTCCTCCGCATACATACTTCTTGTTTTTTTTTAAAGGCGATTTGTAAAACAAATAAGTGAAAAATAGAATTCGTGTGATGTAATCGAGGCGCATATTATCTCCTTCGCATTTAGCACCAATGATATGCGTGGCAAATACTTTGAAATTAAAATTTCCTTTAGAATAGAAATTTCCTTTAGATTAGAATCTAGTTGTCTAAAAATCAACTATATTTATACAAATCGCCTTTAAAAAAAAACAGGAAGTATGTTTGCGGAGGAAATTTTAATTTCAAA